TAATGCAGAAACAGCTGATGGGTCACGTCTCCAGGCCTGCACAGCGTTATGACTTGCTACCTACATTCCATGTTTAGCTTTGAGAGATCAGATGGTGCCAGCAATGTGAGCTAGCAGTGCCTGAGGACATGCTCAGGGCAACACGTCCTGTCCCTCTGCAGCTTTGGTTTCTTTTCTCTACTTCTGTCCCATCCTATCCCCTTAAGGTGATGCATTTTACAATAAATACCAATCTCTCTAGGAGGTGAGCTGCCCCTGTGGAAGCATGTGTACCATTCCCACTGTGCTGTATGTTAAATCCAAGGGCCCAAGGTTTGTAAATATTGTTTCTAAAGTATCTGGGCACTCCAGGTGAGCTGCTTGCCCTGCTTGCTAGTGGCTCTGGAGCTGTGGTTGGTACATGTGGCAGGCTGTTTCAGCATTGTTACTGATTTAATGAAGCATGAGTGGTATTGGAGGGGGTGAATTTTGTCTTGTGCATGGGGAAAGGGTCATTGACAAAAGTTTACAAACAAACAAATGAGTTTTAAAATTAGGCTTAGTTCAGCCATGTGCGGGAAGGGAGGTGGATATTTTAAGTTGTGTTTGTTTTGTGCTTAGCACTGTGCAAAAGTTACACCCAGTCCTTGATGTAGGAAAAATTGGATAGGTAAGCAGAGAAGTACTAGCTCATTGCCTAAGACTGCTCTTGCTCTCCTCATCCAGGGATGCCATGGGAGAGGTGCAGTAGAGACATTTTAATTGTGGTAATTTATTTTATTGTGAACTTATTTTCACTGGGTTTAATCAGAAAACTGAACTTCAGGTATATTTTTAAATGTTTTTATGGCAGAGCTGCTGCAAGTGACCTCTGAGTTGGAGACGAGGGAGCGAAGGGGGAGCGGGAGGAGGGAGTCTGGAGATGGAGCCGGTTGTGGGTTCGTTCCACTACATCTTTTCATCTTTCCCCGGTACTGCAGCACCGCAGGAGTAGAGTTACCGACAACATTCTTGCTCAGGTCTCTCATCCCTCACTCAAATAGAGGGTGTAATTTGACTATGTCTCAGCTCCCATGTGTGAAGACTGTTGATGAAACTGTATGTATGTGCATTTTTAAGTACAAACAAAAACCAAACACAAACAAACGCAAATCTCAATTCAGATCTGTTCCATGATCCTGGATCACCATGTGGTTGTTCAAACTCTAGAACTGGCATGAGGCCGGAGGGAGAACACGTGGCCAGAGCTGTAGGGGTAAAGTGAGGACTGGTAGTCTGTCCTTCTGAATGACAGCTGTGGCTTACATCAGGTTAAATCAGTCTGTACGCTGCAGGCTGAGGCAAAGCAGAACGGACTAAAAGCAGGTTTTCACTTCTAGCCTTGAGTTTCCTGCAATCCTACATCAGCTTGTGGGGGTGCATGTATTTCTGCATCCCAGCTGCCATGGAAAATGAGAGACATCTTACAGGACAGTTCTCACAGTCAGTATTTACCAAAGTTTTCCTGATTCGAATGGCTGTGTCCACAGCTGTCATGGATAGATTGTGAATCTGGATTTTTACCTCCTGCTTCTCCATTCCTATCAGCTGTTTCCGCCTGCACACAGGTTAACGGTGAGGCCTGCTGGGCTGCTTAATGGGTGGCCTGGCGCTGCCTTTGGGCTGATTCAAATCATTTCTATTGGCCAAGGTTATCTCCTCCTGACCTTGTAACCAGACTTCAGACTCCCGTTGGCATGGTAATTGTGAATAGGATGGCTTCTGAAAGAATTCCTAAAGGCTGGAATATCCTTTCTGGTTTTGTGAAAACCATGGGATTTTTTCATCACCACTCTGAACAGGAAAGGAAAGTACCTTAATGTTAAGTTTGCAAATTCAGAGAAGGTTGTGTTTAAAGATACTTTATTCCTAAAATCCACGGTGGAGACTATAACTTCAGTATGGCAGGAGGCTGCTGTACTCAATCCACTTTTGCTGCTGTACTTTCTTGGTTGCTTACTCACTGCACACTGGTACCTTGCTGTACAGGATACATGGCACCTGATTTCTTCCTAGACATAGCCTTTTGTACCAAAATGTATTTTACCTTGGTTGCAGTTGGTTCAGTTTACAGGACTAAATGTGTTTGCATGTTTTTGGGATCAACAGGGACTTCTGTTACCTGTGTGATGGAATGAGGCAGAGGGATTAGTGGGGAAAATGGGGAGAGAGGGAGGAGCTGAATGGGGTTTCTTGTCTTTTCTGGAGTTGTGAGGCTTCTCCCGTAGCAGAGAGGGAGCATAGTACATGGAACCTGAAGACCTTTAAAGTGCGTGCTGAAATGGATGCTGGGAAGATACAGTACAGTGCTTGGGCACAACTCCAAGGCTCCCAAGGCAAGTAATATTTAAACAAGCTGAACAGCCCCTTTCGGCAAGCAGCAGGAAATCCAGCACTGAGCTTTGTGTTGTTGCATGGTCAGCAGAAGATAAAAGCTCAGGCTATGCAGCTGGGGTTCCCTCCTATCACTGGATGGCAAACTGTTAAAAAAAGATAAAAGAACAGAAAAGGACAGGGGGTCGCCTTATTGAAAAGCATTCCTTCATATTTTAAGCCATCGAAGTACTTTGAAATTCATTAAGCCTGATTTAAGTCAGGAACAGTCCTATTGGGGTGTGTTGGAGCTTTTACATCAGTTGGCAGACAAAAGATGAATTTGTCCCTCTGCTTCATCAGAGATAAAGATTTAACATGGGTAGGACTGATATGCATAGGTGCCTCACCACAGGCCCCACAGCAGGCAGGAGCTTCCCAGAACATTTTTTTAGGACCAGGCATGTAATGGTGGGTCTGCTGCTGACTTGGGGGTCTCATTCTAAAATTCAATCAGCATTCAGCCATTTACAGCCTTTCCAGGTCCCTCAATCTGCAGCTCCTTGGTTAGGAACTATTTTAACAATGAGGAAGAGAATTTAATTGAATGAGATTGCTAGTTCAAATCTCCTAATCAGTATTTGCTGTATTCCTCCCCTCTGTCCCTCCTCCTTTTTTCCTGCATCACAGCACTAGTGTCTTGGGAAAGAAAATGCTTCAGAGCATTTGTTACCAATTTAGCAGCAAGTACGTGCTCAAATTTGGGATTTCTGAGATCTGTGTGTGCCATATGTAGGCAAAATGTAGTACTTGCAAGTTCCAGTAGAAGGGAATAAACACAAATTTGCTGTTCTGCAGATAGTGTTTCTTTAATCTAATGAGACTTACATTTGTGCAGCCTTTTTGTTTTGGTAAGACGGTTAACCGTCCTCCCTGGGGTGCCTAATTGCTTATCATGAACTAATCAGTCCCCTGGGTATATGAAGGGATGAAACACTGCCAAGATAGAGCCTGTGACTTCCCCCAGAGGTGTGATAACCCTTCCAATTACCCCACCCTTCAGGGAGCATGCTTACTGCTGTTTTAAAGACCTTGTTACATCAAAAATTGTCCATGTTTGGAGATTTTAGGAAGTTTAAAGGGGTGTATTTATTGAGAATCTTTTGAATCTGTAAGCTCTCATATTTTTTAGGTCAAATTTATGTTGAATATTGTTTCAAGTTTGGTGTGAAAACACTGAACATGTTTCTGCATATGAAAGTGTCCATCTTCGTAGCCCCCATGGCGTGCCAGACCCTAACAGATAGGGAAAGGTCCAGTTTCTGTCTTTAGCTGTTATTAGATAGGGATGTCAAAATCTTTTAGCTTCAGAAACCCCATTTGAAGTTCACATGAAGAAATGAGTGAAACAAATCTGCTGGTGACTCTCTTCTAATTTTTAGTAGAATGATAGTTGCACGTTACTGTGTGTGAAATGAGTGGGTAGATTAAGAAAAGTTTTTCACCTTACAGTAAAAAATAATTAATTTAACTAGTGGTTTTGCTTGCATTCTCCTTTCAGTTTCCTGTTTTAACTCATTCATAATACATGCTTGTCTGCTGTACAGGTTGAGATGGATATTGATTGCCTGAATTCTTCTCTTGTATCTTTTTATATTGAATGGTTGAGTTCCATGAGGCATATAAAGCTTACTACAAAACAATAGTGTTTGAATTGCAAGTGGAAAACAGCTCCTGCTATTTAGCATCTGAGTGAAAATATGAGTTCTCGTGTTGAGGTTTCTTTGTCCTTTACTTTTGCTCTGAATGAGCATGATTTTTGTGTGAAATTTGGAGGATTGAATCTGTCAGTTGGGTAGAAATAACAGTTTGTTCCTTGAAAGAGTTGTAACCTCATCAATGAATAATATCAAGTTTTTTTTTTTAATTTTGTGGTTCTTTAAAAATAATTCAGGTTTTCTTCACTTCTGGTTGTAGAGTATATTCTAAGTGACCTCAGGAAGATTGATGTAAATAAAAATATTGTTATAGTGTGTACTGGCTTAAAACTTGAAAGCAAGGTCATTTCATGCATTGAATTAAAAGAAGGTGGCAGTATGGGTATGTGTGTTTATATGCCTGAGAAAATGTAAATGTGGAAGCATCACTCCTCAAAAGAAGTGTGACTTTCAGTATCATAGGTCTGATTATGATATTTCAATGTGCTATATGTTCATATTTGAAAGTGATTAGTCAAGTTTCCACTGGCAAACTCTTGCTGTCCTCCTGCAGAAATTGGGGTGGGTGCACAGGTCACTTGATCACTTTTTGTTGCTGTTTGTTCATTTTTCTATTTTTGCAACTACTACTTTACCCAGAATTGTATTTAACCTATACATACTTCATAAAAGTTTGTTTTAGGCTGATGTTTTTATTAAATATTTATCAATGGAGTCAGCAGAAGGAAATTAATTTCCCTTTTCATATGTGAATTGTTTCAAGAATTATCTGTATCATCTGTTTAATGGAAAAGTGTGAAGTACTAGTAGTAGAATTGGTTTTTTGGAAGGAGAGGGTGGTTTTGGACTAGCAGCAGACATTTTTGGCTGGAGGAATAGCAAGTTGAAACTTCACTTACTGAAGAAACCTGTTCACAATTTTGTCTGTTCTTTTTTTTTTTTTTTCCCCAGCGTTCCTGAAATAAACTTCCTGCAATTCTTTGCAGTGTGCAGGTGTCCAGAGTCCCCTTTACTCATGGTCGCCTGTGAAACCCGTCAGGCAACTGAAGGCTGTACCTAAAATTCTGCTGGCAGTGCAGCACACTGCAGGGGCCTTGATATAGTTACGGTGGACACCCTGTGCAGCCACAGCTGTAGCATCCCCTCGTAGTCCGAACAACTGAGTATTGCGGTCCAGGAGTCTGCACGTGTGGAGGACTGCCTGGAATAGAAAAAGGAAAGCTGCAGAGATTGTAAGCTGCTGCTTGATCCGTGTGGCTCTTGTGCCGAGGAACATCAAAACTTTGCTGGATGGATCCGACAGCTCGTTGCAAAGTAGAGGGTCAGTCCTGCTGGTTATTTGCAGTTATTAACCTTAGTGGATTTAAATTTTTTTTGTTTCCTTTGTTTTTATGTTTTTCTCTGTATGCCTTAAGAGGATTGTGGCCTTGCAACTAGAATGCTCATGTTCAGGAAACTTAAGGCTGTTCCTACTGAAGGGCTTTGAAGATCAGCAGGCATTTCCTCCAGGGTTTACAGCATTGTTGGAGGAAACATTCCTTGCAGAAGTCTTCAGGCCTATCCGCCCGACTTTGGTCATTTCTTACCTCACCAGCACGTGGATTATGCTGTTTGCAGACTGTCTAAGCTGCACGATGACCTTCATGGATTCCTCATGAGCTTTTACAAGGCCAGGCCAGTGTACTTTGTAAAATCCTTTAGAAATGCCTGCTAGGCTTTTAAAGTCCCAGAGCATAGACTATACTACAAGGAACTCGGAAAATCAGCAGCTGGATATGGTTGTGGATGAAGGGGGATTTGTGTATGTGTGTATTCAGTTCTTGTTTCGAAAACACTTTTTTTTTTCAGGTCAGATAGAGATCTGTTGTTCCTGAGAAGGCTTCTTGTACTCTCTGATAAAGCTGAGGGACTTCTGAATTCCATAAGAAATTGATGAACAAGATCTCTATGCCCTTTCTTTGCATGTGTGTTGCACATTCATTTTGATGAGCAGATGCTGTTTCATTTTGTCAGTGTGCTGGAAGCACCTCCCACAGGTTACTTGCACTGTGTCTACTTCAAAATAGAAAGAGAACTCATACTGAACAGTACCACTAGCAAGCAGCTCTGCTGTTTAAAATTTTCCAAGTGGCTTTCCTATGTGAATCTCAATTTGGAGGGTCTTGCCAGCACTATCTATTGCTGTAATTAATTTACTTAACTAAACCAAGAAAGAAACTTGGTATTTCAGAATTTAGAGCTCTGCAAATAAGCCCAAAGGCTACTGGCCAGCTGGTGTAAACCAGTGAGTGTGCTCACAAAAGTTGTGGCACCTTGTTCATAGGTGGTGGGAGAGAGCTGTTTTTCTGAAAGCTGGATTTCTCCTTCTCCTGGACAAAGGAATGAACCTCAATCTGAGTGATCTTTGGTACTTTGGCATCTGTGGCAAATACATACCTGGAATAACCCCCTGTAAAATTAAAACTGCTAGTTTGTATCTTTCAATTCTGGCTCACAGTATCAGGACAATGTCAACTGATGGTTGTCTGTGCTTGATATCACATGGAGATTATGTAGCTGGTTTATATCTGTTCCTGGTCCTTAGCATACTGTAGGAGTTGGTTGATTTGAGATCTGCTTGTGCCTCTTACGGTGGGGGGCAGATGTTGGCTTTGGCTTGTGAGCTTGCAGAGTCTGCTTGGTGTGGAGATACAGTCTCAGAAGGAGTGCTACCAGTTATCTTGCTCATGAAAAAGCTGTGTAAGCCCTTGGGATATTGCAGCTGGAGGCTGACATTACAAGTGTCTCCTAGCATGGATGGGAGAGGGAGGGCTGTACAGCATGCTTCTGAGTCTCTTTGCTCCAGCATCTCTCTCTCTCTCTCTCTCTTCCCTCCCTGTGGCCTATGCTTTCCCCTCTGAAAATCTCAAGCTAAAGCTCTCTAATTTAAAACTGTATTTCGAGGGAAGGGGGTAGAGATATGATTTGTGTTTCTGAACTTTTAAAGTTATCTTGGTTATAGATTGTTGTTGTTGTTGTTTGGAGGATGTGATAGGGGGAATCGTTTCTGTGCTGACCAGAAACAGAATACAGGAAGATATGATGTTAACAAGGTGGGGGAGAAAAGGAGGTGTTTGTTTGGAAAAAGCCTAGTCACTAAAGCCTGTGGGGCAGAGGAACCCTGCTGATAACACAGATGAAACAGTCTGCCTCTTTCCTAACTTTAGAGGAGTGGAGCTTTGTAATAAATGGCTGCCATGTGGCAGCTGTCTCCCAGCTTCGTGAGCCTGGCAGTAGTTAATCCTGTCAGCAAGTCATGCTCCCTGGAAAAGAGCAGTGAGAAGAGCTTCAAACTCTTGAATCATTCTATCTTCAAAATATTTGCATGTTGAATCTGCTTAAAACAAGTTTGGTAATTTGATGTAGGTTTCCATCTTTAAGTAACATTAAAGTGCAGCTGTGTTGGCTTTTAAATAAAATGTTAGAAACATGCTGAGAAATTGCAATTTTTTTCTTTCTTTAAAAAAGTCATTTTAGTTTTGGAAGGTATATTTTCCAAAATACAAAATGTACTGCATAGAGAAGGGAAACTGTCTTGCTGTCCCTGTATGTTAAAAAGTTACAGGTTGAGCATTTGCGATCATGGTTTTCCTTAAATTCTTGAGGCTTTAAAATTAATCTGTTTGCTTCAGTTTGCTTTTTTTATTTTGCTGAGCATGTAATGTGTTTGTCCTTTTTCCAGAAATCAAAAAACTAGAATTTTGACTTTAAAAATTTGAGATTTTTTGCAGTAATGTAGCACCATCAGATTTTACAGGCTCATGATAAAATCTTGGTGGTTGACAACACTACCACAAGGAAATGGGTTTAAATCCCTGTAATTTCTACTTTTTCTTTTCTCATTTTGCTGTGTTATCTTGTGAAGCACAAAATGTTTTGGCAAGATACCTGGTACATTGCTCCAAGCAGAGAGTGCACTGGCATCTCCTGCAAAGACAGTGTGATTGGGCTGCAAAGCGTGAGTTGAGAGCTCTGCAATAAGCAAACTGATGCTCTCCCCCTTGGGCTTGCTTGTGTTTGCTAGCATATGGATGCAGTTAGAGTGGTGAAACACCATGTGGGACATAGCTACTCCAAGAGTTTTTTCCTGGTCTCTAGCTTATCCTATTTTCAGAATGATTTTTGTAAAATTGCCTGTGCATTCAGTTCCTCTGTGAAACTCTTCAAATACTCATCTTGGAGGAAGAGAATTCCAACTAGAGCAGTGCACAAGAAGCAGGGCACTAGCACAGGAGATTTTCTGTGTCTTCCTCAGTGTGATTCATCCTGCCTCTAATCCCTGCTGAACCCGTCCTGCACACACACGCAGCTCTGGCTACATGTGAAGAGCAAGTGTGAGGGGGTGAAATGTTTGCTTGTTTCTCCGTCCCAAGATTTGCTTTAAACCTTCACCTCGAGTGCTGGCTCCGAAGCTGCCCTTGGCTGAGCTGCTGGCCATCAGGGTGAGGGACAGAGATGGGAACAGGGACAGACCCTCCTTCCCTTTTTCCTTCCCTCCCTCCCCCCGCCTCCCTCCCCAACAGCTGCAGGCACCAATTGCCAGGGAGCAGCCCGGCCGCATGGTTTCGTGGCTTTCTTCCTCTTGTTACTTATGTGCCTGCTTGTTTCCGTGATGCTGTGCAGAGGAACAACCAGACCGATTGTCTCCTCTCGGGGTGGGTGCCCAGGCATCTGCACAGCCAGTTGGTATGGCACAGGAGCCCCTGTTTTTTCAGTGACACCAGGGGCTATTGATGGCAGGCTGGGGCTGTGCTGCTGCTGCTGCACAGATGCTTGCTCTTGGCCCACCTTAAAAGGACAAGATATCCCGTGGTTTAGACTGGCCATATATTGTCGGGGATGTCAGCATCTCCGTCACAGCTACCCAGCTGAGCCCAGTCCTGCTTTGCCCGCCCTGCGTGCCTGCAGCCTCTCCTCAGTCAGAGAGAGGGGTGCTGTAACTCAGAGTATTTGAAGGGGGGGGAGTGTGTCTCTTTTCTACTCTGTTACTCAGAAATGTTTTCCATCTGGCTCTCCCTAGTGCAGTGCATCTAGCTCACCCATTGTGCTCTCGGACAAGTATCTTGTTCCCTCAGCACAGTACTTGCTTAGGCACACAGGTGATCGGACATTAGCCTATAGCTCTCCCCACGTCCCCTCCAAGGTTTTAAGTCAAGTGGGTTTGTCAGGGCAGCATGAAAATGAAAAATTCCCGCAAACAACAAGCACACAAAGCTACATTCTGATTGTTTCCTCATTTTGCAATCCCCTCTTGCTTGTCTGAGATGGCAGCAGCAGCAGGCGATGAGGTTTTGTCTCCCAGGGCTGTGCTTCCCCAGGATTGCTGGGGCTCCCCTCAGGCAGGTGCATCTCCCTTTCCTCGGCCTCTTGGGCATGGACACAAGCATGGTAGGGTTGCCCACTCGTCCTTGCTTCGGCTTCCCCCTACCCTTCTGCTCTCTTGCCTCACCCTGGGCTCCTTCAGGATGTGTGGGCAGTGGTTTTGGTAGGCAGTGTGATGCCACTTGCCTGACCTGTCCTGTCTTTGCAAGATACTTCATCCCGCCTTCAGGGCCCACTCCCTCCAGTCTCTGGCTCTTCTCTGGAGTGCCACCCTCTCCCACACCATCTTCCAAGGCTGTCCCCTTGCCCAGTGGGATGTAAGCCAGCCCTAGCCTGAGTGAAAGATGCAGTAACCGGACTAAGGAAGGCTGGTAGTGTGGGGAGAGACCCCAGGCCATGTCCCAAGGAGTGTTGCCCTGCTACAGCCAGTGCCAGCTCAGGAGAGACGTGAAGGGACTTTCTCGTGTCGCCACTTCATCTAAGGCAAATAAACTGGAGTTAAAGCCAAGAAACACATTGACTTCCTGGAACTCTGCGAGCCGTCCGCACAGCTGTCCCCACTCCCCGAACACATGCAAAGCAGAGCTTATAAGGACAGACAGTATTGCTTTTGTGTCCTTCCTCAGCCAGTGGGGAGGGCGCAGGGGAGGGGACGTGCTGGGTAAAGCCCAAGGCTTGTCTTGTTCCGTGTTCCCCCTACGTTGCTGTGATTCCCAGTGACTGGGGGAAGCCAGACTCCCTTCCCACTGGCCTCCTCACAGCTGTGCAGGCAGGCAAGGATGAGGATGGAGGAGTGTTTGCAGTTGTCGACATAGGAAGGAATGGATGGATGTCTGCTTAGAGCCACTTGTTTTTAGTCTCCTGTTGCCCTGACTTTATTTTGTTGCCTAAATGTGGTGTTCATGGTCCCAGGTTTGTTAAACTGTCTTCAAATCTCAGTATCCTTTTTGCTTGAGCAAA